AGAAAGAATCGTGTCAAGTTACCTCTGTATTTTCCTGGACCGATATTCCTGAAAACAGATTCGTCCTTTCCTTTCACTGTGTCCACCACAGTGTTTCCATGCAACAATGAGATAGAGAGGGTCTCGCATGAACCTAAATTTTTCAGATCTTTTGCTCTACAATTCATTTTCGAGCATGATGTCTGAATAGACTGACATACCTATGCAAGTGACCAAAACAACAGCGTCAGTCTTGAAATGAGTGAAACGGAGATCGTGAACGAATTTCGCAGTTGTGTCAATGTCCAGAGATCGTGGAGTCAATGTTGACGAAGCATCAGCAGGCTAACGTCATACCATTCTAATTGAAGGGATGATAAGCAACTAGATCAAAACTAACCGAAATCGTGTACTTCGCTGGTGCAACCATTTTGCAGAATTTTCCATCCATTCCCGGTCGAATTGATAAGGTCTCAGAGTTGTCAATACGTTTCAATATAAGCGATGAAGCTACTTCTTCCGATGGTGACTTCTCCACACTTCCACATACTTCGAAACTAAAATTTTGATTTCAAAACAAAGAAAATTTGTAACGAAAAGTCGTTAGATCGGGCATACAAGAGATGTTTGCCGAGTGCAGGGAAATGATTCACTACTTGTAAGCCTGCCACTGTAATGCTAGACTATATGTAGTAAGTTATGAGGCTACCTAGCAAAACTCTGCTAGTTCTAAAACCCGAGAATCAGGAATACTCAAAATTGCTCTCCGAGGTCAGTTTATTTGCAGGAAGTTCAGACTTCGTCATAAAGCGTAAGCGCAAACCCTCTTTTGATCAAAAAAAATCCAAAACTATGTTTCTGGGCATAGGTTTCTGAAACTACATTTGAAGTAAAAATACTTCAGAACAACGAGCTGTAATGAAAGAAGCGAAAAATTTTGATGTTGATGTGAGAAGACATACCCTTCAACTTTGACATCCTCAATTTTGATGTGAGGCAACTTTAGATTGCACTTCTCCACACTGAATGAAGTATGAGGAGCCTGAGCAGTGACTTCGATGGGTCCTTCCTGGAAAAATTATTTGTTCGCATGAATGACAAAACAGTACTTGAATTATTGAATTTTTAACCGATTACCTTGAGGTCGCTAAGAGTGTAATAACCATC